GCACTCCAGTCTGGGCGACCAAGTGAGACTCCAACTCAAAAAAAAAAAAAAAGGGAGTTATATTTTGAAATCTTAGCAGATAGACTTTCCTCACCTTATTCTCCTCCTATCAGGGTTCCCTGATAATCTTATGCCCATAATGTTACTTGTCTATCACTCACTGCTCCCCAACACAAGGAGGCAATGCCAAGTCCATGGGCTTTTCCAGGAGTTTGGCTCTGCTCCCGGAGAGAGCTGCCGTCCCCCCTTCATGTGCCTCCAGTTCAACCACATCTGAACCCATTAGTGCTCTGGGTAGTGGTTCCTGACTCAAGAGGATCATCCTATGGATGGAGAGCTCCCCATCTTGTGGGTGGAGAGATCAACACTGAAGTCCTATTGGCTGATGGTCCTGTGCATAAACCCTGTTACCAACAGATGGTTGAGCTGAGGCCCTGCTGCATTTTCCAGACCTTTATACTCATTATCCCAAATCCCTCCAACAGCCTGCAGGTAGCTCTGGCCACTCCCATTTACAGATGAGCAAGCTGAGGCTCCCAAAAGGCAGGTGTGTCCAAGAAAGCTCAAATGGCAGAGTTGAGAGGCAGGCCCAGGAGTCCTGTTCCTTTCCTGGTCTTGCAGAGCCAATGGCAGTGTTACCAGGCAAGGATGGCAGCAGCATGGAGAAAGGACCTGAACCAACTGAGAGCACCCTTCCTGACTATAGTGCAATAGGATCCGCCTCCCACCCAGCTCCATTCGGCCCGCCCTGACCATCATCTGCAGCACCTGAGATACTGAAGTTCTGCTCCTCATCCCATAGCCAGCAGAAATCCAAGTCCCACGAACCCCAGACTCACTCAAACCAAGCCCAGCAGCTCTCCTACCACAGGCCCTGTGCTTCATCTCCAAAATGCTGTTCTGTATCCCAGCCCCCAAAGCACTAGGACTGTGAGCATGAGAGGGTGGGCAGATGGAAGATCTCCTTGGAACTGTCAGAGGGCAGACATGGTTGTCTTGAGAGAGAGGCAGATTGTGCTTCTTACATGTAAGGTATGATTCCCTGACCAGGGTCCTGCTTGCTGCTTCCTCCTCCTGTACCTGGTTGTAGCCAGTATAGTCTCAGAGCCACTCAACAGGGGACTCCCCGACTCCAGCCCGGGGGAAAGGACTGTTCCTGTTTTCTTTTTCTTTTTTTCCTCCACAGGCAGCCAAGGAAGTAAGACAGTTCAGGTCAGAGGCCACGTGGGGCTTTGAATTGGTAGGTCAAAGACTCTCCTGTCTTCCAGATGAGCAGGTAGCAGAGAACTCCAGCCCACCACAGGAGTCAGAAAGAGGAAGGTGGCCTATACTTCCTTCACAGCTATGCTCTGGAGAGAGGAGAAAAGCAACCCTCCTCCCTACCCTCCACTAAGGGGCTGCCCACAGTCAGGCTACAAAATTAGCTGTGTGCCACCAGGCAGCAGCCCTCCGCTCCAGAGGCCCTGTGTGATAGAACAGACCCTGAAAAGGCCTGGGACAGCCAAACTGGGCCCTAGCTCCAATGTCAGGCTGCACGTTTCTCCCCTGCTCCTCAAAGGGCAGGCTTGTTTGTGGGGATGGCGTACACAGCCAGTCCAGGACAGGGCTCCTCGCGGACTCCAGGTCTGACACACACACTTGTTGAGTACACATTCTGGCCTCTCCAAATGCTGGTCATCGGGGCTCCCAGCTGTGTCCTGAAATTGACACTGTCTATGAGAAATACAAACACACACATACTCTATCCTGATCAGATATGACTGTGTCTCCAGATTAAGTGCAATCAGCACTGAGAGGCAAGAGCAGGGAAGGGAGCCCCCAACTTTCTAGCCAAATGAAAGTTCACCTAGATGTCCCTTTGATATCAGAACAGAGACCTAGCATGCACCTCTAGGTGGAAACAGAAAGGGGTGGATTCTCACCCTAGAATCTTCTATGGCTCCTAGCTTCCTGCTGTAGGGATGCACCAACAGTTCCTCTCCCCAACCTGGACCAGCCTTCTCTGCCCAGTAGAGACATGACCATCAGAGGGCGCAATCACCCCTCCAAACTTGCTGCAAATCCATCCTTCCCCTTACACTTTGGAATTAACATTCCCCTGAGCTGCTGCCTCTCAGGACTTTGCTGGGGGCCAGAAATGAACCAGGCCTGCATATTCTCTGCCCTTAAGGTGTTATCAGTCCAGCAGGTGAGGCAGGTGGACACCTGAGACCAATACACGACAGAGAGGTGCTGACCCAAGTCAGGCACAGGCTGCCTGGGAAGCACAGGGCAGGGTATTCAGGAAGGGATTGAAAGGGGTAGGAGACCTACCCCTGCTCTCTGGGAAGGACCAAGACTACATTCAGTGACCATCATCAGAGACCCCTGAAAACTGCCCACAGCGACTTCCCTGTCCCATCTTTATGGTGACTTTCCTCGAACCACCTCTGGTCCCTCTTCACTTCCTAGAGGCTTGGAGAATTCTTTCCTCCCCTCCCACCCACACCTGTAGTGAGGTCAAGGTTAGCCATGTGGCCTTTTAAACGGTAGAAGCATTTTTGGAGCAGCATTTATTGGGTGCCTGCTCTGTGCCAGGCATGGGGATGGGGAGGCACAGCAGTGAAATTGCCGAGGAGGCCAGCAGAGGCCAGATGAACCGGAGGAGGGTGCTGCAGTTGGGCAGGACTGTGGCTTGGGGCTATTCAGCCGTGGGCCCCTGGCAGAAGTTCTGGTTATAGAAGTGGCGGTTGTCCCTGGTCAGGGCCATGCCCAGCTGGGCCCAGAAGCTGCGCTGACCGCTGGGCTGGTGGGGCCAGAGGAGGACACTCTGGCGGCAGAGGCGCTGGCGTAGCCGCACATAGCGGGAGCGACGGGCATTGGAACTCAGGATCACCAGCACCACGACATCCTTGTGGTCCTCCAGAAGGCGCTGCTGCGCCAGCAGGAAGCTGGCATGCAAGAGGCCACTGACCCGGTCCGTGTGGGCCAGCACAAACAGCGTCTTGCGGCTGCCGTAGACTGAAGACCACAGGTTCTCAAAGAGCGACCTGCCGGGCAGCCAGTCACGCTCCTCCAGGCACAGGCGGAGTGCCCGGCGCCCACGGCGCTCCTCTAGCTGTCCCCGCAGCTCATTGTACACCCAGTCGGCCACTGCACCCTGCGCCTTGTCGAAGACCACGAAGACATCATAGGGCAGGGCGTCCTCTGTCTGCCGCCCCCGCCGGGGGAGCCAGGCCAGGCACAAGTGGAAGCAGTACCAGAGGTCCCAGCCACAAAGGTGGTGCAGTGTGGGCACAGCCAGGCCTAGAGCCACAACCAGCAGCGAGAGGCCAAAACAGTTCCAGGAGAGGGCCTCATCCAGGCAGAGGCGCAGGTCCTGTGCGAAGATGCTGCGGTCCTGGAGCTGGCCCGGACTGCCACACTTCACCTGGCTGGGCAGACCGGGCACGGCAGCCTGTACTTCCAGCAGGAATTCCACAAAGGCTGCCCCACAGGCGCAGTGCAGAGGGTTGGCGCTCACGTCCAGGGTTTTCAAAGCACCTGCCAGCGGCCCGAACCAAGAGGGCTCCACTGTCTTGAGGACATTGTCGCTGAGGTTGAGCTCTCGCAACTCCACTGCCAGGGTGAAGAAGCCAGGGGCCACGAAGCCAATGCTGTTGCTGCTGAGGTCCAGCCTCCGGAGCCGTGTGCCAGTGGGCAGGCTGCCATTGGTCAGGGCCTTCAGCTGGTTTCCTGCCAAGTCCAGGGCTTCCAGGTTGGGCAGGAGGGCTAGGTTCCTCCATTTGAAGAAGGCCAGGTAATTGTCACGGAGACGCAGCAGCCGCAGGCTCTTTGGGAGGTTGTCCAGGGTGCGGGGCAGGAGGGTGTGCAAGCGGTTCTGGGACAAGTCCAACCAGACCAGGCCTCTGAGGCCTCGGAAGAAGTGCAGGTAGAGGTCTCCATCGGCCCACATATGGCCCAGGGCGTTGCCGCTGAAATCCAGAGCCCGCAGCGAGGTGCTGCAGAGCTGCTGGGACACGCGGCTGTGGATGTCATTGTGTGCCAGGCTGAGGTAGCGCAACCTGGGCAGTTGGGCCACAAAACTGAAGTTGTGGCCCACGCCCTGCATGCCAAAGGCTTGGCTGTTGTAGCTGAGGTCCAGGGCCTCCAGCCGTGGCAGCTCCGTGAATGAGCGCCCATGGTATAGGTCCAACTTATTGTGGGACATGTCCAGCACCCGCAGACTGGTGAGTGGCAGGAACTGCGAGCCATTAACTGCCTGCGAGATGCTGTTGTGGTTCAGGTGCAGGCACTGGAGGTGGGAGAGTTGGGCAAACATCTCCGGCTGGACTATCACCAGGTTGTTCCGTGACAAGTCCAAGGTGAAGTTGAGGGTATTGCAGTTGGGCATGAAGTCCTCAGAGCCGGGAGTGTCCAGTGGGGCTGGAGCAAGGTCCCCAGGCCGTGGCCGGCCCTTCTCCCCACTACCTGTCTCCCCCGTGGTGGCCACCAGCTTTGAAGCTCCGCTGATGTGGTTATCTGATAGGTCCACGTAGTGCAGACCAGGGAAGGCCTTGAAGATGCTGAGCTTGGCCTGGTTGATGAAATTCATCTGCAGACGTAGAATCCGGAGTGTGGGCAGGTGGGCCAGCGGCCGTAGTGTGGTCTCGTCCAGTGAACGGAAGAAGATGCCGTGCATGTCTAACTCCTGTAGTGAGATCAGGCTCCTGAAGGAGGGCGCCAGCTGCAGGTGCGCAAAAGACACCCTCTTATGGTAATTGAAGGACAGGTTGAGCTTGCGCAGCTGTGCCAGGCCCTGGAAGGCCTTGGTTTTGGTGATGCAGTCGTAGAGGAAGTTCTCACTCAGGTCCAGAGCTATGAGGTTGCCCAGACCACGGAACCATCTGGCATCCAGGCTGGAGAGAGAACTGTCCTTCAACACTAGGCCTTCGAGACGGCTCAGATGGCGGAAGGTATCAGGGTGCAGCTGGGGGAAGTGGGGAGGGCACTCCATGCAGGGATTGTGGGCGTGGTCACAGCGGCGGCAGTTTCCCCCGATGTCAAGCACACGCAGGGAGGTCAGATTGGCCAGGTCCCCAGGCGCCAGCTTGACAATGCGGTTGTAAGACAACAGCAGATACTCCAGGCTGGGGGGGAGGTCACGGGGCACCCCTGTGAGGTTGTTGTACTTGAGCGACAGGCGTGTGAGGTTGCCCAGGCTGAGGAGGGCACCTGGGGCCACCTCCAGTGCCCGTCCGCAGGGATTCTTGTAGTAGCAGTTGCCGTCTATGAAGAGGGAGTGCAGGGCAGGCAGACCAGTGAGGCTGGAGGGGTCTAGCACCAGGATGCTGGTGCGGCTCAGCGTCAGGGACATGAGCGATTTAGGCAGGGCGGGCACGGTTGTGATGCTGTTGTAGCTCAGGTTCAGCTCCTCCAGGGTGGGCACGGCCAGGAAGGTGTTGGGCTCAATGGTCATGTGGCAGGGGAAGTGCATGGGGCTGAGACCAACCGGCGGGCAGTTCCATTTGAGGTTGAGATGCCGCAGGCTGGACAGGTGGGCAAAGTCAGAGTCTCGGAGGTGGTGGATACGGTTGGAGCTCAAGGAAAGGCTGGTGACGTTGCCACGGGGTGCTGCCGCGGAGAAGTGGGGCACAGACTTCAGGAATAGCCAATTGCAGTTCACCAGGCCATGGGGCTGCAGCTCACAGGGTAGAAAGGCAGGCAGGGTACCTAGAGCCAGGGCCACAGCCAGCGCCATGGCCTGCACCAGGAGAGACAGTGGGTGCAGGGCGCTGCGGCAAGAGCCCTGCAGGGGTGGGGGCTGTGTGAGTGTCTAGCCCCTAGTTCCACCCCTGCCCACTCCACTTCATGGGCGTCTTTCAGCATCTTCCAAACCCCTCTCCCCAAAGCCCTCCCTGTGAGGCTCCTCCCTGGCTGCAGAGCCCCCTCCTGCCCTCCAAGGCTTGTAGGGAACCTGAACTTGGTCTCAGACCCAGCCTTTGACTTGGAATTAGGACTCAGAAACGGGACTAAAGATGGGAACCCAGATTCACGATTTGGAGCTTTCATTCATAACCAAACCACAGCTAGATGGGAGGTCCAAGGGAGGTGGCCAATCCCCCCTTTCCTCCTCAGCAAGGTGGCAGTCACTTCCCTTCCCTCCAGCCACCCTGAAATCCCCTCTCTGCCTTCCGCTGGCCTCCCCCGCTCCCTTCCCTCTCCCTTTGGCCAAATCCCAGATAGGAATGAGAGCCTCCTGCTGTGGTCCAGACTAGTTACCTTCCAGAGCCTCTGCCAGGGTGGGCACTGCCCAGCTCTCTCACCCTCTGTCCACCTCATCCAGTCTGAGTTCCTTTAACCTGCTATGGGTCAGGTCAGAAGAAGGAGTGGCCAGCAGGGTGTCAGACAGAGCTCAACCCTAGGCGTCCAAACCTGGGCCTGCAGCCCCAGCTCCACCACTGCCTGAGAGCCCAGGCCTCAGCCTCCTCATCCCCCAGTTGGTTTGTTGCATTTCACTGCTCAGAGAATGGCTTCTGCTCTGATGTCTTCAAGGTTCCGTGAGTATCCCCAGGGCCATGTGGGTGACAGCCCCTCTCACCATTGCCTGCAGCTATCAAGCCCACCTCTCTCCCTGTCCCTTCCCAGGTTACCCCCTTCCCCTGGGGGCTGAGAGCTGCTGTCCTACCATGTCAGGGAGTCAGGGCTTCTCCAGAGGGTCCGGCGGGCAGACTGGGCAGCAGCTGCAGGGAAGGATGCTTCACACTCTGGGTCCTTTCCCACCAGGGCAGTAATGGTTCAGAGAACAGAGGAAGTGAGACGTTTACAACCGCCTAGCAGCTCCCTCCCTCAACTCCACCTCACTCTGCCCATTGTGAGGGGACTGGGTCTCACGAGTCAGGGGCTATTTGCATAATCAGATGGTAGATGGCCCCTTCACTCCTTCCGCTTTCCACTATCCTCTCAGGCAGTCAACCTCCCACGAGGGCCTCACACCTGTCCTCTGGGAAATCTGGGGAGGAACTAAGGCCCAGAGCTCAGGCTGCGAGCCGAGGGATCAGAATTCGAGGTAGCACCAGACCTTAGTCAGGTGCACTGACACCCATGCCAGGCCCTCTCCCCCGTCCCAGGAAGATTCTTTCGTTCTCATGACTTAGCTCCTGCTCCATAGCCGGTACTCTCAGGACAGTGGCTCCTCTGTTTGTCCTCCCACTTGTCCAGTGGCTTCCCCACTTCTCTGGCACCATCCCCCCCTCTTGTGTGAAGAGCCAGGAGCAGCTTGGGCGGGAGACTGGGGCTGCACCTGCCTTCACCACAGCCTTGCAACCTCTTCCGGGCACAGAACCTTCTCTTCTGCATCCTAGCACCCTGGGTGCCCCACAGAGCACAGACCACACCACTCCAGATGGGGCTTCTGGAGGGTGGGCACATGGCTGGCCCAGCAAGGACCCAACTGATCCCCTGCATTGGCTCTTCCCAAACTTCTTGCCAGGTGATGGGAACTCAGATTACTCAGGTTCAAAACCTCAGGGTGGCCCAGGACCCTTCATCGAGTCCTAATATCTCCACCTGCAGAATCTGCCCATTGCCCACTATCCCCACATCCACCAGCTTGGTCCAAGCTGCCATTGTGTGGCCTAGACACCACTGTCTCCCTGGTTGTCCTACCCTGCTCTCTGCCCACAGCCTAGTCACATTCAGCCCCTGGAGGAACCTGTTCAAACCTGTCACATGGGGTTCCTCTTCTCAGACCCTTCCATGGCTGTCTCTGGGGTTAAAGCTACAGTACACATAATGGCCCACAGGGTCCTATGGGACCTGCCTCCTGCTGCTTCCCTGAGCTGTCTCCAGTCACACTGGCTTCCTTGCTGTTGCTTAAATACTCCCCCGTCACTCTCTGTCTCTGGGTCTTGGAACATGCTGTTCCCTCTGCCCGGAAGCTCCTCCCTGGATTCTCACATGCCCCTCTCCTTTGCCTCCTTTAAGTCTCTGCTTACATTACCCTTCCAATGGGGCCTTCCCTGACTTTCTTATAAACCTCCCACCCCAAATCTGGCACTCCTGAGACCCTTTGCCTGAGCTATTTTTTTCTCTAACGTTTTTTTCTTTTTTTTGAGTTGGAGTCTTACTCTGTCACCCAGACTGGAGTGTAATGGCTGCTCCCAGGCACCGCAGCCTCAACTTGCTGGGCTCCGGCGATCCTTCCACCTCAGTCTTCCAAGTAGCCGGAATTACAGGCACGCGCTATCACGCCCGGCTGATTTTTTGATTTATTGTAGAGATGAGGTCTCACTGTCCAGGCGGGTCTCGAACCCGTGGGCTCAGGCAATCCACTCACCTCAGCCTCCCAAAGGCATGGGAT